ACACAAAACAAACTGAACATTTTTTTTATCTTTCATTGATTTTCAATAAACATACACAAACGTAAACATCACAAAAGCATGTCACGGAAACAGAAAGACAAAAGAAGCAAACACGGCGGAGCTTTCTGGGTAACAGATCGGAGTCCGATCTGGCGGATCCCACCCACGAGATCAAGCCGAGATCATTCCCCTCACTGCGTCCCCAAAAAGACTCCTCTGTTGCAGGAAAATACCTAAGATGAAAACCCAAAAAATGCACAATCTTGCTCAGCTCAGTGATCCTCCCGCTGTTCTCAAGCAACACCCCAAACTCAGACCAAGAGAACCACCAAGAGAACTCTCCCGAAAAGAAAAACCCTCCAAAAGAGGAACCCCTAACCAAAAGAGAACCCCCCCTTTTCAATTTACCGGTTCTTCCTATTTATACCCAATCAAACAAAACCCTAACTCCCTTCTTTTCTCCTCATCCAAACCCTTCAATTTTTCTTCTTTTTCCTTCCACCGTTGATCGGGTGAGGCCAAAACTGGCCCTGCGGAACAGCCAAGAAAGCTGGAGCGTGATGTCATCCTGTAGGCAAGGCAAGGACATGGTGCAGGTTTGTCTCATGCTCGGTTGGCTGCAGGGACAAAGGCGCAGCAGCAGGGTCAACGCAGCAGGGGCGCAGAGCAAGGAAATCTGGGCATGATCGGGGCGCAGGCTCGGTGCAGCAGGGGCGCAGAGGCGCAAAGGGGAAAGTGCAGGCGTTGGGCACGGAGTGCAGGCGTTGGGCACGGAGTGCAGGAGCAGAAACGTGCAGGCGCAGCAAGCAAGGGATCAAGGGCAAGGACGCAGGGCTCGGTGCAGAGCAAGGCCGGGATCTGGTGCAGGGCAGGTGCAGGGCAGGTGCAGGGGCAGAGGCACAGGGGCGCAAGGCGTGAGGAGCAGGGCGCGGGCTGGTTCGGGAAAAAAAACAAGTTGATGGGGGAAAGAGAAGGTTCCAGACACCTTCTTTTTTTTTGTTTTTGGGTTAGGGTTAAACGGGTTTTGGGTTTGGGTTTTTTGGGTAATCTTGGTTTGGGTTTGTAAAATTCATTTTGATGAACTTCATCCCTTCAACTTTTAATTTCTTCAATTGAGTCCCTTCTTTCTTCTTCTTGAATTTTCCAATTTCTTTTTGCATGTAACACCTGAAACAAAATAAAGATATATTAGTCAAAGAAAAGGAAAATTTTCATATTTTTATATTTTTGATTTTTTTTTTTTATAAAAATTTGAGTTATGACAAACACTCCATACATACATACCCCCAAATAACAAAGTTCTAAGCCTTTACATACCATAAATAAAACTTTAACAAAGGCTTTTTATTCTTTATATATATATATATATATAAATGACAGCAATTCTATATGAAAAGGCACAGATAAATTAAGGCATCTAGGACACCACAAATTTTCAAAGTCTAGGTTGCTGGTGAGAAAGCACAACTTCAAAGGAACCACCAAAATGGTAAAAATAAAAAGGACAAAAGGAATAGTTCATTCTTATTAAGTAATACACAGACGCTTCAATTGAGGCACCAACCGTTTTATTTTCAGTTTTCATGCTCAAATTTTAAAAATGGGAATTGAGATATTAGAAAAGAAGATAATAAATTATTCATCTTATTGTAAATATGCTTGTGGATCATAAAGATTCAACATAAACACTAAAAATAAGTAACTTTATGAATGCATTGCACTCCTTGAAAACAACTCGATGTTCAAAACCACATACAGTAAATACAGTAAATACAGTAAACCAATACTCCTAATTCTGTCTCCTTATTTAATGATTCCTTATAAATATATCAGGAAAACTCCTTGAACTCATTTTTTTTTTTATGCCAATGGTATAAAAATATAGCTAATGGTGCAAATTAAGAAGTGTTTATCTATGCATTGAAGTATGAATCTATTTAGTGTGTTTCTCTAAAAGCATTAGAGAGAGAGAGAAAGAAACCTCACAAACTACCGTGCCAACAAAATCACCTTGGTCATCATTCAACATTCCAACAGGCAATTCTAGAACAATCCGCCCAGTTGGGACTCTAGTCTTAGACAAAAATGAAATCTAATCAAATATGGATGAGTATTAGTAGAAAATAGGTCAACAATTCAACCCTCTGCTCATTTGTAACATATTAGATCAAATGCCAAAGAATTCAAGCATGACATAATAGATAAGACCAATAAAAAGTAACTCTACCTGTTCAATAAGAACAACATAAGTCTCACCCTTAGATTCCGAAAAAATTAGCACAGCTAAAACTGGTCCTTGAGTGAAAACAACACCTGGAACCTAAGCATGTGTTTCAATTGATTATAAGAGAGATAGTACGGGTTCATCAAATAAAAGAAACAAAATAAAGAGATAGTTAATAACAATAAAAATTATGGCTATAGAATGGAAGAGTAAGAGAAAATGCAAAGATAACTAAGTTTCAAAAAAAATTGAACCAAAAGCAGCGGAAAAAAAATGATTACGAGTAATTTACCTAAGTCCTTCTTCCCATTCCAAGTCCCACATTGCCACCCTTCTTTCTGTTTTCACAAGTTATAAAACCAATTAGCTGATCAAAATTAAACTGCTTCACCATTACCATTACTGGTAGTCAAATAAATACCTGAAGCAAGTTCATTATCTCCATTCCTGATCTTGATTCCTTCTTCTTCTCCATCAGAACTTGGTTAAGCCTCTCCTGCAAGAGAAACACACATCATCAAAACTGTATGATCCCATTCTCTGATCATAATCAAAACATATTCTTTTTAAGTTTTCAAAAACCATGGAGAAAAGATCCTACCTGCAACTTTATGTACTCCTTCTCTTTTTTCTTCATTTCATGTATCTGTTGGGTTCTCACTTGCTTTTTTAGAATCGACACATAATTAACAATAGTTAGTACCAGTACATTGTTTACAATTAGCCACAGAAATAAAGCAATCATATTTCCAAGTTAAAAAATCTGCTTACCTGATTACCAATCACCATCCTCTGAAACTCATCCCTTTCCTGCTGTAGCTTCTCAATTTGTGCCTTAAAAGTTGTTGTATTTTTGGCTTCCTAATCACATTTATTTTAACAAGTGGTCCTTAATTCGAACACGAATGTCAACTAAAAAGAATCTCACTTAACAAAACCAAGAGATTCCAACCGTTCTCGTAATTGTTGCTATTTCTCTATCTTTAGTTTGCAACTGTGACTCAAGCCTCTAAACTTTTGCCTCTAGTCTTGATATATTTGATAGTAATCTACACAAAGGATATGCAACCAAAAAATTATTTTAGAAAAAATATTCACTCCACTTCAATGTTCATTTAATAATAGCATTTAACATCAAATGCTAATACCATGGTAAGATGTAGAAATATCAAAAACAGAACTACTCCCCTGAATTGAGCAAATAAATAACATAAAATAGAAAGTACCTTTTTCGTTGTTCATTTGCAGACTCTCTATATTCAATATCGCGTTGTCGTTGCTGCAACAAAGAATATAGGCAATTACAAGCCCTCGCGATCGAAATCTACAAAGAACAAAAAAATGCCGATCACATTAGCAGAAATATTTAGAAAAAAAAAATTCAAGGAGAAGAAAAAGGAAAAGAGAAAAAAATTCAACGCAACAGCGTGATATTGAGGCAAATCCCTGACCTAAGTATCAACAAGAAGAAGTCTAAGATCTATTTCTGATGCAAAAATGCAATACCTTGCAAGAAGAAGTCCTAATTGTAAATGACCCAGAAAATAATACAAAACCACAAAATAATATTGTCAAACCAGAAACAATCATATTAGACACGCAAGATCAGTAATGAAATTAAAAGGTTGCATCAGCTGCTACACAGATATCTGAAAGCAAAATGAAACATATACAATTAACTACTCAAATAGGATCAGACCTTGCATTTTGGCTAGGCACATCACAAAGTATGTGCCCATTTCCGGTGTGATTAAATATGCTTCCAATGTATTAGTCCTGCCATATAAATTAAGATCACCATACCACAAAAAAAATGCCCAACATTCCAAATAAATCAAAATGCAAACTTTCAAGTACCATTCAGGCAGAGGACTGAATACATGACTCTCTGGTGTAATTATTGCGTGGTCCCTTTCGTAAACACTTCGAGTAAAACCAGGCAAATCTACACATAGGAAAAAGAGCAAACTAAACTCCAAGTAAACATCGTTTTATTAGGTATTAAAAGAACTTTAAAAAATAATCAAGGGTCTCCAGAATTTTGAATCCGAGTTTATGTTTCAAAACACTCAATCATCAAAGTGAACTGCAAAGACTGACCTTGGAGATGAGAAGGTGATAGAGTGGGGTTGGTAACTTTCTAGTACAGTGGTTTGGAGGTAGCTTCGTTTTCAATTATCAAAGACGCAAAACAGGACCCAGCATCGCCCAGTACTGATGAAAAAGCGGAATAAAGAGAGACAAAAAAAAGTACATAGAGTGAGTGAGAGGAGGGGGAAAGAGCGTGACGGGGAGGACGAAGCAGTTTTCATATTCCTAGATTTGAATGGAATCCAGGTGAGGAAGCTGGTACTCCAGCGAAGCCTATTACTATGGCCGGAGTGGAAGGAGATTCGGCAGCAATGAGGAAGATAGGGTTTCAGTTTGTGGTGGAGAAGCCGAAAAGATGAGATTTAGACTTTTTGGTGAAAAATGGTCCAGGTAAAAATAAAAAGGGAAATAAATAAGTAAAACACAATTTTTTTTTTTTTCAATTCAGTTACATATATACACAAATATAAGTTAATGAATATTTTTTTAATAAGAATTTGGGAAAGTGTGTAATATAATTTGAATTGAATTAAATTAAATTGATTGATTGAATTTAAAAAAAATACTAATATAATGGTATAATGAGTACTATTATATTAAAAAGATATGATATTAATTATTGAGAGTATAGTAATAATTTTATCATCTCTATTTTTAAATTTGATATAGTGTAAAAAAAAATATTTTTGAACTGATTTCAATCTAGTTCTGATCCAATTCAAGGGTTCAAAAGATAAAAACTATATAATTAATAAGTATGAACAAAATGTGAACACAAAAAAATTTTTTCCGTCTTACTTTAATATATCTTTAGATTAAACAAGAATGGGATGTTTGCCACCTAATAAAATTACCCATCTTTATCAGTTCATGAATCATGTGGAACAGCTTCTAGCCATCATTTTCACTTAGGAGGGATTGGTTGTAGAGATGGGTCTACATTGACTACTGTATTTAATGATCACGCTAAACTCGATGAGATTTACTAAATTTTGTGGGACTCCATTTTCGTTTGTCTCAAAGTTAGCATTATTGCTGCTCCATATGTAATCTTGTCCGTAAAAGACAATGCAGTTGGACTTTATTTGAAAGAGGCACAGAATAGTTTTACCTGCCTCCTGCTGACAATGTCGTCATGAATACTGCAGCAACTCTAAACTCACTATCTATACTGTAAGCTGCCATAGATGTCGTTATTAGCGAAGATAAGATTTCATTGATTGCAATCATATATAATTAGGTATAAAGAAAAGTTTAGGGTTATTTTCATTAGTACTACCATTAACACAACAACAATTGTCAGGTTATTGTCACTAGTTAATGATAGTTTTTAACTAATTTATTTGTATAG